ATCCATGTACCTCGCCACGCAAGGGTATAATGTATACAGATGAGGCACCTACACCTGCAGCAAAGCTCACGAATAATCTCGAATCTAATACATTACGGATATTATTGTTATTATTAATATTGTTATAATTCCGTCGTTCTCGCAGCGATCGCTGTTCCGGTGTGCCGTGTTTGAGTATAAAATATTATACGCGCGTTGTGTAGAGGAGCCGGAGCCGAGTTGTTGCAATTGTCTAGACACATACATATATACCTGCAGCAACAATGATAATGGTATACCCTCTACCTGAATAGTCTCCGTATTGTTCGGACGGGACAACATAATATTATCGTGTAATTAGTGTGTGTCTAACAGTCGACAACGTGTGGATATCAAAATGTGCGTATACTGTCCACCGGGACACGCTAATAAAATAACCGACAATGATTTCACTCAGTACTTCAAATCCCTCGGTAACACATTTTTATCCGGAGGTGACTTCAATTCCAAACATAACTTATGGGGATCTAGAGTATCCAATACTAGAGGCCTTTCGCTACACAGATCTCTACTTTCTAACAACCTAAAATACTTATCTCCTCCTGATCCAACATATTGGCCATCACATTCCAACAGAATCCCCGACATTCTTGACTTTTTCATTCATACTCTTCCTAATAACATCAACTATAATATTGCCAATCTCGCAGACCTCTCGTCTGATCACACTCCTATCCTATTAACTTTAAATAATCAATTGGTCTCACTGAAAAAATTCCCCACTCTCACCCCAGGGATAACCGATTGGAAAAAATTCTCCCACATCGTTGAAAACAATATATCTCTAAACATTTCTTTAAAATCTACTGAAGAGATAGACTCTGCTGTCTCGACCTTCACCACGCTGATAAAAAACGCCGCGCTTGACTCTTCAACCTCCTTGCCTACCAACCGCAATAAAAAATTTCTCCCTGAACACCTCTCAAAACTGCTTGTTGAAAAACGCCGAGCTAGAAACCGATGGCACCATACCCACCTCCCCAGTGACAAAAGTCGCTATAACAATCTTGCGTGCTCCCTCAAAAACCTTCTACGCATTCACAACACGGAAACTTACCAACGATATTTACACTCTCTGTCTAACTCAAACAACTCTATTTGGAAAGCTACTAAAAAAATCCTAAATAAAAAAAATGTAATACCACCAATTAGATATCCTGACAGATCCTTCGCTAAGACCAACTTAGAAAAATCAAACCTGTTTGCCTCTCTTCTAGAAAATAATTTCTCTCCTCACCCCGACGTCAACAACATCGATCACACATCCTTCATTGAAAAATCTCTAACCAATTGCCTTCCTATGTCCTTACCCACTAAACATACCTCCCCCAGCGAAATTCAATTTATTATCAGTAAATTATCAAACAAAAAATCCCCAGGTCACGACCTCATAACAAATCGAATTATAAAACACTTGCCCAAAAAAGCCATTCTTCTCTTAACGTTCATCCTCAACTCAATTCTTCGTCTCTCCCACATTCCTCGTTCTTGGAAACACTCCATAATTATTCTAATTCCAAAACCTGATAAACCTCCTGACCTGCCTTCCTCATACCGTCCTATCAGCCTCTTACCTTCATTCTCAAAAATTCTAGAAAAGATTATACTAAAGCGATTAAACCCTATATTAGCAAGCCATAATATAATCCCCCACACTCAATTCGGTTTCAAAAATAAACATTCGTCTATCCATCAAGTTCACAGACTAATCGACATAATTGCACAAACTCTCGAAAACAAACAGTACTCCACTGGCGTCTTTCTCGACGTAGCTCAGGCGTTCGATCGCGTTTGGCACGAAGGTCTACTATTTAAAATACGTTTTCTACCAGCCCCCCTGTTTTTAATTATAAAATCCTTCCTTCATAACCGGTCCTTTGTCGTTCGCTGCGAGGACGAGCTCTCACAAATCCACTACATAAAAGCAGGCGTCCCCCAGGGAAGTATTCTAGCACCTACTCTTTACAATATATTTACCTCCGACATTCCTCACTTCGAGAACACCACTCTTGCTACTTTCGCAGATGACACAGGCATAATATCAACTAATGTTGACCTAACCATAGCATCTGATAATCTTCAATCCCATCTCAACGAACTACAAAACTGGTTCAACTTGTGGAGAATCAAAATAAATCCAAATAAATCTACCCACATAACCTTTACTCTACGTCCAGACCATAGCCCCCCCATGACTATCAACAACGACACGATTCCCAAAGCACAAGCCACCCGTTACCTAGGAGTCCACCTCGACAGTAAACTCACTTGGGCAGTTCACATAAAAGAAAAAAGGAAATCACTCAACTTTAAACTCCACAAAATGAAACACCTTCTTAGATCTAATCTCCCACTCAACACAAAACTCCTAATCTATAAACAAATTCTCCGCCCTTCAATGACTTACGGAATACAGCTATGGGGCACCTCCAAAAAATCCAACATTCAAAAATTCCAATCCTTCCAATCAATTTGTCTTCGTCTCCTCACAAACGCACCCTGGTACGTCAGCAACCTATCACTCCACTCTGACCTTAATATCCCATACATAAGCACCCTAGCCTCCCATTACTATAAATTATTTCACAATAACACAGTAAACCACCCTAATCCACTCATTTCCAATCTCTCATCCGTCACTCTCCCAGATAACCCTCCACGTCGCCTAAAGCGAAATTGGCCCAGGGACCTCCTCAACCAATAAAAAAAATAAAAATAAAAATAAAAACATAAACAAAAGTCTAGAATTGAAGTAGTGTTGCTTGGACACTCCCTTCCATCAAGCCGTCCAGTTTTGTATATATAATAAATCAACCATATTACTCATTGTATAGTTAATACAGATTGTATATATTCTCTTTTAATAAATAAAAAAAAAAAAAAAAAAAAAAATGTGCGTTAAGTGATGCGTCACACCGATGTTGCGCAGTTTGACGGGATACCCGTAATATAGTGGCCATACTATTAACATCATAATGAACGTGCTTGTACTCAGGTGTCAATTTAATACTTTTTAGTCGCGATGGTATCGTATAATTATCGTCGAATACCGTTTTCCAGAGCATATCGCGTATACTATTAGCATCTTCGGATTTCAGATAAAATAAGCAACAAAAAAAATAAATAAATAAATAGAACTTAATAAAAAAAAAAGTAGTCCATGTCGACAGATGGTATTTCCAGCTAAATTGATATAGTAAACTGTTACGATATCACAACATAATAAATTATTTCCTATTAATATAATATTATTAAATGTTTGAATGTGATGCTCACATTACGAAATGAGTTATTAATTCTGGAATAAAAAAATTAATAATAAAGGCTATAAATTTGTAAATATATCTTAATATTCGGAAATAATCCATACATAAGTTTAAAATAAAATAATAATTGTAACTCTATAATGACATTGTAAAAGTAATATTTAGGTGCGGCCGGCGGCATGGTAGAAACCGGGTGTAGAACACTCGTTCTGCTCGGAATCCAGAACACAGAGTTAAGAACAACTTGTTTAATAGTATAATATTAATTTATTTTTACCTTAATGGAATTTTTTTTTAAAATATTGTTAGATTGAATCCCTTTTTTCGTATAACATAAAAAACATAGAACTGAATTGTCGTATATCACGCTATCGATGAGAAATAAGAATCTAGAGGTCTAATAAATTACTACGATATCTATCAAGATAATCAGTGGTTAGTTTTTTTTTTAACTGAAACTTTCAATAAGTTACTTATTTATAATTAGTGTTATCACTTATCAGTTTATAGTAAATTGTTCTCGAGTTTTTCAACTATAGCTAATGAGATTATTTACGTATACATCCGTGGAAACAGGCGACACGTATCGTCGATTTAAAAATAGCCGGTCCTAAAAAATACCCTTGTCGGTGTACATATATGACCATATATGTCTTTTTAAACGGCCCGACATCCGTCTGAATCTCTGCAGACAATAGCAGACGACTGTGATCGAGATATCCGGGGAACACGGTGCAGATTATAAATAATTTAATTGTGAATCCTAGTTATGAATATTGTACTCACAATGCTTCTTGCTTTATTCAATAGGTAGTATAAAATGTACAATTATATAAATTAATATTCAAGTTTTTGTTTATGGAAAAATGTAAAACGGTAAACGACGACGATGATTGAACGGGGTGGAATGTGTGACCAGTGCATTTTGCCCGTTGCTAAAACACCATTAATATAATAGTTGATGGCCTATTAATGACGGCATGACGCTGCAGATGGTATTTTAGTATGCAAATTCTGATATAATATTGTGTAATAAATATTAAACTGTCGTGAAAATTCATCCCGTCCATTCGTTGAAGATCGTGTGTATATATACACACATATGGGATACTGTATGATTCTTTCAAAAGTTGTAAAAACTGTTCATCTTAAAGTTTCTCTCAAGTTTTTGAAAAAATTCCATAATTCAAAGTCTACTGAAATAATTATACTGTTGAAATAAACTATATTTTTTTCTAGTTTTTAAGGTTAACTTTGTTTTAACTTTTCGAGTGATGACACACATTTTAAATTTCATTTTCTACTTCGGAATATGAGAAGTAAAAATTAAAAACTTAATGTTTTCAATAAAAAAAAATGAAGATTTGTAACGACTCCAAATTGGTTGAAAAAAAATGTTTCAATGACGTTTAATGTTTTTCGAGACAAATTATGGCTGTGTTGACTGTTAAAAGGGTCACCCTGTACCCACATAAATAGATATCGTATTGTCGTAATATTGTTTTCACAATAAATGTTGGACACGTGCGGCGTCCGCATGTTTGTGGGAGCGGTGCCGCGGACCGTGAACCGGTCCCTTTGAGCCAGTGCCGCGGACAAACGGCCCGAGACCGATGGCGGCGGCGCTCCGTTTCCGAACTCTTCGCTTAAATATCCCTGGTGCTCCCTGAAACCGTGACAGTGCGATATCTGAACCGAACGCTGCGACATGGACGACAACGAAAACTACTTCTATTGTTACGATTACTACTACGACGACGGCGACGACGACGGAAGGGATTTTCGTTCGGATTTTCCGGGAGGACGCTGCTGGGAACCGGTCGCGGACCCGGTCGTCCTGCAGGATGCGGCCGGACAGGTTGCCGGCGTCGGACTTGCAGCAGTCGCACAACGCAGAGGTACGGTACACTACCTATATTATTATTGTATTGTGGTCAACGCGAGTCTCGAGGTGATGGGTATCCGTCCCGAATGGCGATTAACAATCATCTGACTTAATGGACAATGGCTAATGTACGGTTTATTTTTAACAGCAATCAAGAAGAATAAATTATGAAATTTGACATTAGCACTCATCGCGTGTAAGCAAATATGTGAAAAAAAAAATTCTTCTCTTTTTTATTTTCGAAATTATGTGAATCACTATTTTGGCCTAGAATTAAGTGAAGATGTGGCACTCACAGTAAGACTCCGGAGTGCAAGCTGAGTGTTCACCTTATTAAAACAAAAATAGGGCAATCATAAAATGCTGAAAAGAAATGCTTTGAACGTTCTTTCATTGTTAATGTGTTTAGAGATTTATAAATGTTATTTTATTTACCTAACAAAGTATTTGTTGGTATATTGAATGCAATGAAGATGAACTCGATCTTAAAGTGGGTCACGGCGTCGTTTGTTTTTTAAGCACCATAAAGGTAGGTACACTAGGAATGTTGGGAGTTAATAAGTCCCGAATGGATTGCGTTAATTTTGTAGAAGGGAATGAGATCTTTTACACATAGTGTTGACAACTTTTTGAACGAGGTGAATAGAGAGATCATTATAAAGTGTGTGGTTAGATACAGAGTATTAAGTAGTTGTGGGGCTTTAATGATTTATAGGAGATATTTGAAATGGAAGGTTTGGCTGAGCCTTTGAAGATAAATTGTATTATAAAAAAAAAAAAACATATTTACATTACGAGTGTTATTGAACTAATAAAAATACTTGATCAAATAATTTTATTGCAATGTATTAAATAATAAAAAATTAAACATTCGTGACATTTTTCCAAATATTAATTTAAACATTTTATACTACCTTTCCCAAATGAAATTTTTTTTTACCATTTATACATTTTTTTAAATATAACTTTTTTGTAAAATATTCAATAACCCTTTGATTATACAAAATATATTTTTATTATGTGCATCGTAGTATTGTACATTTGAATTACTGACAATATTGATACATTGTAGGCACTCATTGTTTAAATATTTAGATCATTTAACCTTTATAATTTATAATTGTCATTATACTCGTAATTTAATGTATTCATATGAATAATACTACTACCTAATATTATGTACTACAATTCATAATTTATGCTACAATATGTGAGTTACATGTCGGACGCTCATTTATTTTAATTTACTGTAAATCAATTATCCAATACAAAGGATTAGTATCAACAATTATTACTATTATACTATACCATACTATACTATAGGTAAGTATCATAGGGTTTATTGACGCAGAGATTAACGAAATAGCCTTATAATGAACTGTTTATGATAGAATCGTTAATTTGCCTTCTCTGTATCTATTAGACTAACCATTAGGGTCCTAATGGATTGATGATAACACATTTAGGGAAAAATTAGGATTGCATCATAGAAATGTCACTCGCGAAATGCATAGGATAATTTATTCATAAACTATATTATAGAGGTAAATATGTTAATAATATTCATATTTTATTCAACCAATTTCAATACTACCACGATAAAATAAATACTTATTTTTATACTTTGTGAAAACACATTAGTATAGTATATTTCACGACAACTTTAGAATGATAAATTCATAAATGTTTTCAAAGCTAAATCTTTTATAACTGCATAAATCTAAAAAAAAATCTAGTATATTTAAATAGAGTGTGTTTATAGGATGATTTTTAAACGGTATACTTTTTTGACATATGTCAGGAAAATTTGTGTTCGTGTACAAAAATAAAGTTTGTCTAACTAGAAACTAAAAGTTTCTTCCGCATGAGTTAGAAATTTTTAATGTACAATAGTTTTATTTTAAACGGTTTAAACGCTCCAATATAGAAATCTATTTATTAACTATATTGTTCGGCCCTCACACGAACATGTATAATGGGGCCCATAATCTTCTTAAAGAATAAATAAAATAAATGAAAAAATATATTATTTTATGTTCTTTAATTTTGATTACCAAATATTTATACCCGAAAGTTCTATATAGTACCTATTAATACGTTCACAATTGCATGAAAAGAAGACTTATTCGATGTAACTTGGTTTGTTTATAGATGCTATAACTGGTTGATATCCATTTCTGAAGTATCGAAATATAACTAATATAATTTTATAATTTAAACTATCAATCAATTTATTATTTCGTCTACATTATTAATTAGTATTTTTTAAATGTTTCATGGTTAAATAATTATATTCATACAATTTATAAACGACTTTATTTTCAATTTTTGATTTTTTCAATAATTTAACGAAAACTGTTGAAATGTTACAGAAATTCAAGCAAATATGGTGATATGGTTTAATCGAGATATTTCGTTTCAAATATTTTTAAAACATTGCAATGACTTAACACTGATTAGCTTTCAAGTATGTAACACCTCTAAATCAAATACGTATTTAGTAATTTGGGGAACGGGTGCTAATGTACCCACCCCCCACACACACACAAAAATGATTTGACTTTTTCCACCCAACAAGCACGTTGCTGATCTTACCTGACGTTGACCACCCTTAATAACGACGTGTATAATATGTTTTCGTTATCTTTTCTGGCACATTATGTAATCGTTATAAATTAGTCACACATTTTAAGTAGGTTTATTTATCATCTACTAATTACAAAACGATAAATATTAACAGTTCAACAACAGTATTTGTTTTGTGAGCTTAAGAGGTTAGGTACTCATTTATTATCATTATAATTGTCTATAAATCTTGTCTATAGCCTCGTGTTACAATGCTAATATTATAATCTTAGAATATTATTGAAAAAAAATATATATAATTGTTCACTGACAGAAGATGGTCAGTATAAAAATCTGATGCCACCCCTAAAAGAATGCCACCCACTCCTAAATAAGTCACTGCTCTAAATATTCTATACCAACGTGAGTAAATAAAGATGAACGCTCAAATATACATTTCTGTAAACTCATAAAAATAAAAATGTCTTACTTTTTCTTTTTTATATATTTCAAAATATTTATTCACCTACTCTATTATAAATTATTCAAAATACTACGGTACCTTCTGCAGCCGCAAATTGAGTGAAATAACTAATAAATGTTACTGCGTTCAAAGGATCCTTGGAATTAAGAAAAGAAAAAAGATTTTCGTTTGAAACGAAATAATTTCAATAGGTAAATTTAAAAACAAAATAATATGTGAAAATAAAAATTTAAAAAAAAATCTTAAGAATATAATAATAGTATTGGTTTAAAAAAATAAGAAACAACATGTCTAAATAAATTTAATTCTTTGTTTTTATTGAAAGTATTTGAAACATCTGCTTTATGAACACCACAATGAATTATATTATACACCCCGAGATTCAGTTGAAAATAAAATTAAGATATATGACTATGGTATAAACTATCTGTTCGTTATTAATTATTCAACCGTTTGCATATTTTTTTTTTACTTTTACTTTTACGAAGATCTGAGTGTAATTAATTATTGGGCTGCACACTAATGCATCTCCACCCTTTATTGTGAAATCAAGGGGGATCACAAGAAATATTTAGTGAAAGCAAAAAACTACAACATTATATTTAAATATTGTATTCGTTTTGTTTATTTAGACTTATAGTTTAGTGAACAATGTTCTATACCCAACACGGAAAAAAATATGTTAAAAATTACGGTACTCGTAAATGCGGCCGGGCTCATTAAAACAGACCATTTATAAACTTGCTAAGCCTTGATAATTAAAGTCGAACAATTGTCATTCGAACACCTCAAATTGTTGTATAAACTATATTTTAATATCAACTGTTTTATGATATCAACATTCATATGAAAAATAAACCAAACAAAAACTTACTGCACTTCTCAAATGTATTATCAAATTCTGTGAATACAAGTTGACTAACAAAAGTTTTTTGTAAAATTACTTCTATTAATTGCAAGTGTTTACCTTTGTTACACTTATACTATATGGCTATAATTGGAAACTGTAGATATATATATATATATACATAGTAGAAAACAGTGAAAGCTGGAAAACACCATAACAAAGAAAACGTAATCCTTTGGGATTCCTGAAAATGAGAAACCTCAATGACTCGATCACGTAAAAGTTGTGATATATTTTTAATCAAACTAATTAAAAATAATAACAATATTATTATTAAACTTACCAACAAGATTTTAAAAAACTGGATGGTTATAAAAAGTATTATATAAGCTATAACTAGGTAACAAAAATGTTTTTGTGTAAGAATGAACTGATAATTACGATTCATTACAAACGAATAATACATAGTATTTGAATTCTGGTTAGAAGTAAACAATAAAAATACTATTCTTGTAGATTAAATTAACGTTTTCGTCGAGAAAACAATTATTGTCGTATTTTGTATCAGTTCAAAAATTATTTATTAATTATTAACAACAATCTTTATGAAAACTTAATCGTTTACATTTTTTTCTCGCCTTAAAATATAAATGATGATGTTTTTGGACAACCAGCATGTAATATATTGCATAGATATATGATGGGTAAACTTGAAACTGCTACAAACGAGGAACGAAATTTATTTATTTAAGATTTCCCATCAGCGATGCAAAGTCGTAGTTTTTGTGAATTAATTGAAAACTGAACATGAGTAAATAATAATATTGGAAGTTTACGATGTGCTTTAATATCCCATCTATACGAAGAGTATTTAACTTAAACATCCATAATAGCTTACAATAATTTATTATAACTAGGTATGTCTTTTTCCTTAGATCATTGTTCATAGATCTTTGCCTAGATATTGATGTAATGAACCCCTTACAATTTAACTGTAGTGAGAACTTATGGCATTTCACACGTATCAGGTATAATAATGTGTTTTTGAATAAGGCGTATTCGAAATTGCTTGTTACATTTTATTTTAAAATTGACTCTAAAAATAAACTAAATAACAAAGATTCAATTGCAATTCTGTATTTATAATCAATATTCTGATATGAACATAAATATTTCCTTTTATTTATAATTTAAATATATTTTTCATAACATTAACATAAGTCACTTTTATACTTTATGGATAAAATACATTAAAGCTAATTTAAATATATGTCATATGTACTTGAATTTATAAAAGCTTAAAAGTAAATGTAAACTTATGACTAATGATAAAAATTGTTCAAATCCTATTTTTTAATTTGATTATTTGAATCTTCTGTAAATCTATTACATGAACATTGTCAAAGTTCAAAATATGTGTTGATAACTTTCTATATGTAAAATATTTTTATTGCAACTTTACCCTTTACTGTAAATCTAAATATTTTAGGAGTTTAAAATGAAAAGTTCATAAAGCTCAAATATGAAGAATATTTGATAACTGTTCATTAAAATTATTTAGGTTAGTAAATATATCAAACGCAAATATCATATATAATAAGTTTTTATAATGAAATATTTTCGTAGAGAACTTAAAAAAAATATTACCTACCTGATATCAGTTACATTAATGATTTAATTACATGCACACATTTTTTGTATCAGTTGTTCAGTATAACGATCAGCATAAGCTGCTATGGAATATAATATAATACAAAAATCATCATGTGAATATTACATAAAAAATAGTCTAAAAATTATGACAAAAATTTAGAGAATTATTATTAATGGATACTATAGATTCTACTCGTATAATAAATAACCTTTCTACTATAAGAACGCACACATTATAAATAATAAGTAATCACCTAAATATATTATATTTTAATAAAGTATTTGGTCTGACATTGAGAAGTGTAAAGTGTAAACCCTAACATTATAGTTAAGTAGGTACTAAGTATTGAGGGCAAATGTTTTACATGTACTTGTTCGCCCTTTTTTTAATTGCGCATACCTACCTTCATATTATTTCGACAAATTTAACTGTAATAAGTCCCACGTCCTAAAATAAATTCTCATAGACAACGTGTAATATTATAAGGGAGAAGATGAACTGGGATTTTATCATATGGGTAGGTATAGTCTATTATTATAGTCTATAGTCTATTATATTTATAATACGCATTTTATCACTGTTGGTCATAAACTCACGTCGCTGTCAATGCATCACTCAATAAACAGAACTACTGTTTTAAATGAACTTAGTAATATAATTGTTCTCCCGCTATTTCTAAAACATTTCCATTGTAAAAAAAGCTCACAACAATGTTGTAAGTGCATACACACACTCACTACACATGCAATTAATCAATGATTTTTTCTTTTTTACTATTATTTTAGAAAACGAGCATAGCATAAAAAGTCGAAAATCTAGAACAGCATTTACGAAATATCAATTGGGATGGCTCGAGGGAGAGTTTGAGAAGTGCAAATACTTGACTCGGCTAAGGCGGTACGAAGTGGCTTTAATACTTGGTCTCACAGAACGACAAGTAATTATAAAATTTTATAAAATATTCTGCTGTCACACATGTCTTTGTTTGGGTTTTTTTTTTATAAATCGTTAATTTTTTTTTTTTTTGTGTCTTGTTGGTAAAACATATTATGTAGGCTCAATAATAGGTTTTAATTTAACGTTGAAAGTAGATTTCGAAAGACTTTTGAGAGTTAATCTGTGAAATTGATTCATTGATATTTATAGGATTTAAGTTCAATTAATTTATTATGTTTTATGCTCTGACAGCGACTTTAATCAATATTTATTAATTAATTTAATATACGAATTACGAATTACATAAGTAAATTACATTTGTCATGAACTTAACCTAGATAAAACATTTACTTGCATCTAAACATTAATCGCATGTATATAATACGGTGTAAATTAAAATTTGAGAATTGAAAAAAATATAAGTAAAATGCAATAATTCTTTAAAATTAGTTTTGTTAAAAAATAAAAATTCAAAGTAAACTAATATAATTATAAGTTATACATAGCACATAATGACCTAAAAACTCCCAATTTAATGACACGTCAAAATAATACTTATATTTCTATAATATTGTATAATGCGATTTGTAAATAATATATATTTATTGTCATAGGTGAAAGTGTGGTTCCAAAATAGACGAATGAAGAAAAAAAGGCTGAACGAAGAATCCATTTACGGATAACAGGATAACGAATAAAGATTGTATTATTTGCATTTTAATCGTCAAGAGAGATCACTGAATCGTGTTTGTACATCGTGGCATTATTTTATAATATGTGCACTAGTTTTTTTTATTCACTGTTTAATCCTTAATGGAAATTTGATTGTATAAATGGATTATTCCACCTGCCACGGGGATTAAGAGTATTAAAAATTTAAAAAAAAACCTTTTTATTTGTTCGCAACAATAACCAACAATCTTTTTTAGAACTGCCACCAAACAAGATGTTTTAGACTTTTAAACCTGATTATATTTTGATTGTTAACAAATGTCATGATTTGGCATTAATTGAACTCATAAAAAATAATAACAATAATAATAATAATACGCTAGTTAGTAGATAAAAACGTGAGTCCATTTTTTTTCAAGTTATCATTGGATCATATAATTTCCAACTACTAAGAACAATTCAATAGTTTTTTTATTTATATACATAGTTTATTCATTCTTCGTCGTTGATTGATCCATTTTGTAAGTGTACATTTTATAATTTATAATATTAAAGATTTAAATGAAAATAACAACATTTATCTTTTAATTAATGTTGCTCCAAATCAGATAAACGTAATATAACTTTGAAAAACAATTTTGTATTATTCCTTATCGGTTTCTATTTGAATCTTTACGATCGAAGTTTATAATTAAAATTAAAATGTCTTTCTAACTAAACACGTTTAAAAGTCAATATCAGAACCAAAAAACACATCTGTTATTAATCTGATTTCTATCATTTTAAATGTTTCGATGGAGTTCGTATACAATCAGTAATCTAAAAGAGTTTTTTTATGAGCTAATCACTGATCAGCTAATGATTGAAAATCAAATAAGTATTTTAGTTAAATCATTTTTGTGAGTTTCTAGACTATTGCAGAATATTTACCGCCTAAAAGCCACAGACAAAAAAGAAAATTTTACTACGAAACCAATTTTAATAAAGTCATATTAAATAATGCTTTTGTTGTATTCATACAATTATTGTTACCAGTTATTTGTGTAACTACCTACACGATAGAAATATGGAACTATACAAATGTTTTGTTTTTTGTGTTTTCATCCAAAACAAGAAAATGGTACTATTTAATTTTCCCTGCACAAAATTTTGTTACATCTTAGTTATTTTTAATGACAAATTTTGTACTATCACTATAATTTAATTACTTTTTTACGGAAAATTAACTTTTAAAATCACATAGTTTAGAGCCACATATCAGGTTTCACATAGGTATCGCTGAACACGAATTAATAATAATAGCAACTGATGGGGTAGAGATAGACTATAGGTACACAATCGGTAATTTATAGTTCATGCAGCTAAGTCTTTATACCTCTACATAGTTAAAGAACTAAGGTACATAATGCAAGTTGGGGCTTATTGCCCACCCGTGGCATCATTATTGCATAATTTACAGATAAACTATCCAGTCTTCACTAACTAAAAACCATAATTACACTTGATAATGTTTATAAACTTTCAAGACAAGAATACAAAATAAAAACAAGTCGGCCTGTAAGCTGTATATTGTATATTTTATAAAAACTATCTTAAGTAACCAATTGAAAAAATCAATAATATTATAAGTTGATGGAATAGAGAAAACGAAGTAACACTATTAAAACATTTATATTTTAGTATAAAACATATAAACAAAAAAATAAAATATCAATGATTTTTGTTGTTCTTTAAATTTGATTTATGTACAGTAATATCAAAAATATAATTCATTGTACCTAGTCACAATAATACAATTATTATTTAATGAGATAAATCTCAACGATTTATAATTTAATAACATGACGAGTTTTGTATGCATGTTTGTGTGAATCCATACCTATTTAATACACGGTCATATTAATATGAAACCGTACGCGACTATTTTTGACGCCAAATGTTTTAAAATAATGTACAAGTATTATTATGCCGGAAAAGAAACGGAAGAAAATGCTACTATATTATGCGTTTATGAAGTGTAGGTTTTGAAGACCCCTTCTTTATTTTCGGGATATACCAGCAATTTATGATTTCTACTAAGTATAAAATATGCATTATGAGTGTGTAATATAGTACCCAGATGATGTATAATGTCTCTACGGAAGTACATATTTTAAACATTTGTAAACTTTTATTTTTATAGTTTCGTGATTTCAGGACTGAAAATATACATTAAATTGAAAAAATTACTCCCGGATAAGTTACCAAAGGGTAAAGTTACCAAGTTACCTATTTTTTTTATTAGTTTAAAAACCAAACATCTACTACTTGATTTTAAATCCAGTCAGATATAATGATTGGTTATACAATGGATTATATTTAATGAAATGATTAGACGCAAGATGTTTTATTTTGCTATTATTAGTTCAAAACGTATGGCCCATTTAAATATTTATTGTAATCGAAATAATGATTACAAATTACAATAATCATTGTAAATAACTAAAATTGTATTAAATAGTTTAAATACAATATTATTTGATCAAAAATATCTGTACTACTACAATATGATACTTAATAATGTATTGATTGTAAATTTAACAACCTCTAAAAATAAGTACCAATGATATACAACCATTGTTCCGAATAGTCATGAAAATAAATGAAGAAAATACTTTGGAATCGAAATTAATTACCAGTTGCGACGGTTAGATTCCTCGAAATAGAATTGTACACCTCTTCTTTATTCAAAGGTTTACATCAACTTAATATGGATGGGAGTTGAGATTATACAAGAATATTAATGAATACATCTAATGCTACGACTTACAACTTGCTAAAATCATACGAAGTTTAAAATTAGAGTAATATTAATCGCAATAATATTGTAATTATTATATTTTTAAGTACAAACTTCTTCGTGCTTTACATCTCACAAGAAAAGTACAAACTTAAAAATTACGAGTACTCTAATGATTTTTTCATATTTAAATTAGATAAGCAAGTATATTATAACTTGCTTTGGTGAAGAATCCATGGGCAGAGTAATGGTTGTTAGAAAAGCAAAATTGGAATGTTTCATGAATAATAATTCATAAAAACAATTACTACAAATTTTGCCAAGATACATCGCCATTCGTTGTTTTAAGATTAGCAATTGTGAAATTATTGTAAAACTTAGCTACTTAATGACAAAATATTATTCTTATTATTATGAAAAATGATATTAACCCAAAGAGTTACCTACATAACCCAAGATATGAATAAATAAAATAAATGTTATTCAGAGTCATTGAAACTTTTTTAACTTACGAAAAATTACGATATTTGAGTTGACATTGTAACTTGAAAAGGAAGTAAATTGGTCATAATTTGTTCGTTTCATTATAATATTAAGAGTAAGAGAAACACAATTGTTTTAAAAAATTATTATGTTATGCAAATTATCCGAATATAATATTCACATTTTGGCGTCTACGGCATTAGCGACATTTCGGACTGAACCTGTAAATCGTAAAAATTATATGTATATATAAATGTATTACAACTATACATGGCATTGCCTATGTAGCTATATATAAATATTTAATAATTTTGTATTTTAATACCTATGGATTTTAACCATTCCTCTAATTATAATTAAATCATATCCAGAGATTAAAATACTTTATTAATTACGCTTTCTCGTACTAAATATTTTATTTAATTTCTAAATAGTTAAATTGAATGAAAATATCATAAATTTTAATAATAAAACAAAAATTAAATAAGTAACAGCTAAAGAGAGCTTAAGAGGGGCTTAATGTATGAATTTATTTTCGTTAATACACTTATTTCTTTAAATTTAATTAGTACCCATGATACAGTTGTTAATATTTGGTAGGTACTGAATAGTTAATATCTTGCTAATACCAGTATTTAGGTTCAAACTCCTTGTAATAGTGTCATGTAACATTCAAAATCCCGGGTAAGTTAATATTTACAAAAATAAAATAATTTCAATTAATACGCCAGATACAATATATCCAATTTATACTTATTTTGTTAGCTGAAAAAAAATATGATAGCAGTACTAGTTGATGCCAGAGACGAATAATTAATGTACTTACCTACTTGTTTAAACCTTACAAAATATGATGACTAATAATACCGTATGTCACCGATAATTTTCGTAACGACAAACTTAATAAACTGGAGAGATTTAGTATTATTATTTGCCGAAGAATTCCATAATATTGTATTTTTATAAACAGAAAAGTAATATTCGCCGTACCGAGTATTCATATTGAAATCTAAACAGCAGCGAAATGAAACTCTAATGAGGTACATTATTTGTATACCATAATAATATGTTATCATTTTAAACCACGCTGAGGTATTGTGGGAGAAACTAGCTTAGAGACCTAACCACCACTTCAAAATTATTATTATTAATATTATGAAACCGCAATCAGATTTTCCACATTCTACAGAACCAAAACTGGCGCCCTTAATTTTAACTATGGTACAAATCGTATAATTTTATGACAGTCTACCCTATAACTTAAAATATATTTTAAAACATTGTCATCTGTGGTATATAACTGTACAATATTATCTATTCACACCTAAAAATGTATAACGCTAAAATGATATCGAATTGTTGAGGAAATACAAATCGGGCAGGAAATGAACAATATACAGTGCTCAATAATTATGAATATTCCTGGTATCAATCGTACTTGTATTATGTATAGGTATAAATTGTATAATAGCAATATATATTATCTAAAGTGATATGACCTGAATGCTTAGAAATATTAAATATTTTCCTGGGTAACGATAAAAGAAAAACTTCATCCCTTTTTCTTTGCCACAGCAATAGAAAACCGTGTAAATGGAACTCGGTTTTTCATAAGTGATCCAAATAAATTGGCCCAATAAATCCCGTAAATTGGTGACGTCTCCCGGTCCGGATGTAATATACGGTCCGATGCGCAAACTTGATTACTATACCTGTGCACTCAAACTTGTCGCTGGGCTCAAAATCATGGTAAATTACGGTCGTGTGTTATTCACTTGCACTTTTTTCGTTTCACGTCCAAGAAAATGTGTACGTATTAATCTTGTACCGAAAACAAAAATTAATATCAACTTGTATTTGCTAGTACAAACATATATTTTGCTGAAATTTGTAATGTATCGATAGTCCTGAAAAAATGAAGTGTAATTAAAATATTAAATTAACCTTCCAACAGAAAAAAAACCTCGAAAAAAAAAATTTTTAAGGAGGCTTTTACTCAAAACTATTTTTTTTCAAATTGATTTAGTTTTTTTTTATCGTGTAACTCAAAAACTAATAACTGTACTTAAAATATTCATTAAATAATAATTCGAAAATTTTAAATGTATAATAACA